GAAGCGCCGAAAGAAAGAAGAGAAAGGAGCCAAGAAAGACAAGAAAAAGACAAGGAAATCAAAGAAAAAACAGAGAAGCACCAACACCAAGAAACGCTCGCGTGTGTCTCGCAAGCGTTCCATCTTGAAAATTGGAAGCCCAGAGAGCAAGAAGCATGCAGCAGCAGCTGAGCGAGAAGCAGCCAAGAAATCAACACACACACCGACTGCATGCAAAAGCAAAGCGAAGAAAAACAAACGACCAGAGAACAATGACCAAGACGGGCAACCGCCACGCCGCAGTAAACGCACTCCCAAGACCAGTGAGGCCAGCCTAGCGACAAAGGCAAAAGCTAAGGCAAGCAAAACCAAGAACAGCCAGCGCAGCAAAGCCAGCCCAAAACGCAAGGCAAAAGGCGAGGAGGAACACCAACCGAAGCGGCAGCGCAAGCCAAAGCAGCCAAAGCCGAACGAGCCAAAGGAGCCACGCCCCCCGTATGACCCAGCCTTGTGCCGACACGAAAGCTACCAGCTGCTCCTAGACTATGCCTGCCTTTTCGATCTGACGCTATCATTGGATGAAGTGAAATTGCAGTTCAAATCACTTGTTTGCGACCTGAAGCACTCTCGACTGAACAAGTACTGGACCAGGCCCGCATGCGGCGTGACATATCTTCAGGGTCTCAAGGGAAAGTTTGATGTGGGCACTTTCCAATTCAAGGGTCCGGACAGCTGTCGCAATTGGGCACTGGCAATTTCTTTGCGGTGCGCTGAGATGCTTGCAGCGAAGCTAAACATGTTTTCACACATGGCACGCTGCTAGATCTAAATGCATGTATTTTCATTTCTCTTCTCAGCTCAGGCATTGCTGATTGACTTTAAAGTCAATGAGAATGGCAAAGAGCACGCCATCGACGACGAGGTCTACCAGGAAATCGAACTTTTGAAGCGCCATGGGCAGAATGCCCTGAATTATTTGAATGACAACCCCCCAGGCGCAAAGGTTGTGGAGTGCGCAAGGATTCAACATGGATTTGAATGGGATGGCCAGGGATGGGTCTTGCAGTAAGCGACAGGTTTACATCGTAGCAGGCCTTTCTGGCGTTTGGGTAGCATGGAAGTTGAGGATAGAGGCATCCAGCAATGGACTGTTTTGGCCTCCCTCTCTCGAACTTCACAATGTCTGCGATGGGGATAAAACCACCACTTGCCTGCCAAAGTATACTTATAAACAAACAGCCCGGGCTATGATGGCCCCAAGCCGGTGTTCATTTGAGCCCATTTCTTGTATCGTGGCACGTGCTCTGCCCTACAGCTTCACTCACACAGCCCACCCGAGTCCAGCCTTCTCACAGCACGATTGTTGCGCCCAGGTCCGCCTGCAGCGGGCCCATCTCCGCTTCGTGGGGAGCGCTGGAGGGCAAGAGTCCATAGATTGAAGAAAACATCAAAAGGTGATCCCGCCGTGTTTTGTTGTCGTACTTGATTCCAGGACTGAAGATTGTTTGCAAATGAACCTAGCTGGGAGATTTCCCTTACAGCCGTTTTGCTCAGTGGTGTTGATCCGGGATATCCACACACGCTATCATGATTCCAATCGATTTGCTCATGTGGCGACTTCGTGTTTTTGGCGCACCAAAGGCGCAGTCAGATTTTTTGCAAATGTGCAATAAACAAATGAACTCTATAACTAGATGTTCGCAGGGGATGGGTTTCTAGTTATTGTTATGCAGGGGCTCGCCCTGGTGATACTGCTGATCCATTGGTTGGGTGAGCAGTTCAACTTGAAGAATGAGGACTGGTGGACTGCAGAGGTTTGGTCGATACTGTTTTGACAATATATGTATTGTGTCGATATATGCACGCAGCTCATGTTACATGTTACAGGATGTTGATTTCCTCGAGTTCTTTGCGGGAACCGCAAACACAACGATGATGATGAGATATGCTGGTCTGCGAGCAGTGAAGTTCGACATATTATATGGGAAACAGAAAGGTCATAGACATAGATCGGACTATATGAACATATTGGACCCTTCTGGCTTCGCGTTCCTTCGAGTAAATGCTTTTGATATCTTTCACCGTTTTTTTTGCTCATGTACGGTGGCCTTTTGGCCACGCCGGCTTGCGACTTGAGGTTGGCCTGCGTCTTTGTCCTCAGAGGTCGGAGGGACCGGTTCCTCAGCCTGCTGGCAACGAAGTGTTCCAGCTGGGGGCCAATTAATCGAGGTACATCCATGAGATCCCCATGCTGCGCCACTGGAAACACCCTCTACCCCTCAGTGGTGCAGGGAAACCAGATGTGTGAGAGGACCGGGCCTGTCAACAATGACATAGATGTGGGGTTGAAGCTTTTCTTCTGGGGACCAAAACTCTGGCAGGAGCTGTTTGATCTGCATATTAACTTCGTGTGTTGGGGGCACGTGGGCCTTGGAGCAGCCGGGGCTGAGCTGCATGGAGTACTACCCATCTTTCCGCTACATGCTTAATTGTCATATCCGGTTGATGGGCATGGCTAGTGTACCTAGGCTCAAAAAACACACCCAAAAGCACTGAAAGGTATTTTTTGGAGGTGTCCGTGTTTAGCCGGTTTAAGAGCTTTTTAGGGCTAACATCGGACACCTCCAAAAAACTGCCTTTTAGTCTGTTGGTCTTTCTTAAGTGGTATGTTTTGTGATGGGGGCTGGTTGGTTTCTCGTTGAACACAGGTTCTTGAAGGGCACTCATTTCTGCGGGGTTCATCCAAACAGGATGCCCCGAACACTTTGGTTTGTGGTTGTCTGAACACTTTTTGGGGCATCCCTGAAAAGAGGCTTTTGTAGGCCCAGCTTTCACGATGTAAGGTGACCAAGAGAGGTCCTCTTGACCTCTCTTGGGATGTGTGACTGTTAAACAGTTCTTCTTGGAGTTTTTTTGTGTAGACTTGAACAGTTTCCCCAACGGATTTTCAGGGATGAGCTCAGGTATCTCGAGTCGGATGGTGGATGTGCCACTACTCAGGGCCGACACCTAAACGACACTACTGCTGGGCATCATCCCCAGCTATTCAAAAACTCGACCGAGGAAAAATGCAATGGAAGAAGTTCAAACAGGAACGCCCTGTCCGAGTTGAAACCGTGCGTAAGTACCAAGACAAGAACAAGAAGGAGAGATACCAGGGAACAAAATACCTTCGCCAAAGCGAGCTACATGACTACAAGAAGTTTGTATTGCTCAATTGGTGTTTCTTTGATGCTCATAGTCCAAGGGTCTTGCTATTTAGCGCAGCTAAGGGTGTATCCCGTGAAGTTTGCCCGGACCGTCACCGATCTTTTCCCAAGACTGGTGGACACAGCCTTCACCTTCCCAGATCCACCGGCACCACTGCCCTCAGCTCTCGAGTCCTTCTTGAGCTTCAAAGAGGATGATCCTCACCAGTGGCCGTACGCCAAGCTTGCGGAAGTGTACAGCTATTTGAGAAGGTCGAAGCGCCTACAGATCCCAGCACAGTGGGAGCCTTTTATCCCAAATTCAATTTGAAGTGCCCCGCACAGAATCGGATGCCACCGGATAGATTCCTGCCGTCTTTTCTTACTCCGAAGCTGTTTTGGTGGGAGAAAAACCGACAACCCATAAATAACCCATAAATAACCCATAAATGTCCCATAAAAAACCCATAAATACCCACAAAACCCAGTTATGTGCAACCCGTATCAAACCCGTAAATAACCCATAAATAACCCATAATAACCCGTAATCGATTTATGGGTTTTTCACTATCGAAAGGTATCCGATTCTTTCGCGTGTTGATGCTGGTGAACACGCTCTCGAACAGTTCTGACCGCACGTTGTAAAAAGCCTTCATGTTTATGGGCCTACCAGAAACAACTTCAAACGGCCACCTCGAAACTTAGGGAATCGTGTTGTGAAGTTTACGACTTGCAGATCTTTTGATCAAGCTTTTTTTGAAGGGACCACAAAGTTGTACGGATGACCAAAGCTGACAGTCCTTGTCCAGCACCTGGCCAGAGCATGGTGAGCTGTGAAACGCTTCGGGAAGGTTTCAGGCATGTGAAACAAGAGTTGGAGGAAGCCGAGGCGGCTTTGGTAAAGGAAATCGAGGACAGTTCAGAGATTCGGTACCACGGTATGCTGGCTGTGCATGCTTAGCTTTGTTTGGTAGTGGAGCATGGTCTTGTGGGGATTGGTTTTGTTTGGTGGGGATTAGCCATACTTTTGGCCTGATTTCCTCCAGGAGATTGAACGGGGCTTGAAGGAAACGGAGATCTATGAAACAGTTGGAGTCTTAACGCTTTTTTGTGGTTTGCAGGGTGTGCCCACCAATACAACCCGGCCTACTATTGAATGGATGCTGAGTCTGGACCTGCCGATGTTGTTCCTCACCCTGAGCATCGGATATCTAGCCTTGAGACAATTCCAGAGCCTTGGACAAACAACGGCCTGCTGCACTTGAACCAAACAGTTCTTTTTGACACCTTTTCTTGAGGCAACCACAGAAGAGCTTGAACGCAACCGATGGGTTCCTGGAACTTTGCTTAGCCAACCCTTAGCAAGTGGTACTATCATCGATCTCGATGATGATGACGTCGTGCTTGATGAACCCTCTGAAGAAAAGTCTCCACACCACAAGGAGTATAGTGTGAACACACTTGCGCATGTTTGAAGGGCATGCCTGTACTATATAGGTGTATATTGGCCTGTACCGTTCTGCCAGGAGACAGTGGAGCCAGTTGCAACACCTTGCCGAGGCAATAACACAGTACCTGAAATTCCTGACAGCCAATTTGATCCTCTTTTTGGTGGAGGTAAGCCTGGTGAAGCACACAAGGCCTCGCTCACCCCTGATGAGCAGAAACCTGTCCCACAAGCGGCAGGAACCGAACACGCAAAGGAGCCTGCAAAGGGCAAGACCCGCCAGGCACCTCCGGCTTGCAGGTTATGTGTACCGTGCAGCATATATACTATAGTACTATATTTCTGCTTTGCTTTTTGGTCAGGAGAAATTGCACTTGGCTGCCAAGATGCGGATCCGGCGTATGGTTCAGCCCCACAAAACACGCAAGGAACTAAACGTTCCTCCTGCTGTTCGTGATAAGTGGGATGAGAGTCCAGAAGCCAAAGACATGATGGCTGCTGTTTTGAAGAAGGTGAACTTTGACAAGGTCCAGTGCAGTTCAAGCCGTGTACAACCTAGTAAGCCATGTACCTACAACATGCTCTCCTGTTCAGGCTTCCTTCATACAGCGAATCGAAACCATCATCAGGCGGGAGAAAACGGTGGAATTGATTGTGGACGAGGCCTGGTATTCAGAGGCCGAAATGGAGTCAGAACTACATTGGTCGAAGAACTTGCCTCAGCGTTTCATGTATGATATGTTCCTTTTTCTGCAACTCACTGGTAGCGAAAAGACCTCTAAGGAGCAGAATTGCAGGAGCAGTGGCTCTTTGCATGAAGACTCCTGATACTCATGTCAGGCCTTGTAGCTGTTTTGCGCGAACACTTTCACCATCACCCTTTATGACTGATGGCTGTATGAACTCGCAAGCTCTTTCTTTGCCAGGTTCAACCGCTATGACGGGATCAAGGAATATTGGGTTCAATTCCGCGAAAGTGGTCAACGGAAGGTTAAAGTGTCACATCAAGAGATTCGCTCCAAACGCGAGGTTCCTGAGGCCCCTTTGTAAAGCTCATGTGATATTGCCGGTGCAATCTCCAACCCCCACCACGCAACCGTCTGGCCTCTGGCCTTGATGGCAGGGCGACCTGGGGGTCGCAATCCCCGAGGGTGCATTTGATGGCCTGGATGTCATGGAGCGGCGACTTGCGGCAGAGCCACAGCCAGCCAACGCTGGGGGTGGTGGTGGTGGTGGTGAGGGAAAGGTGGGACTATGAACGTCCAAATTTTGTAGGTGGGAGGTCCCACGACTCCATTACATGTTTGTGGCTTGTGAGCTTCAAATGGTGCCCATTGCTTCTGTTTCTGTGTCAAGAGTCAAGAGTCAAAAGGAAGCAATGGTTGACGTGTTACCCATGCATGCCATAAAAGCCAAACCCAAATTGCAGGCCTACAAGGACCAATTCAAGACCTTCATGGATAGCATCTTACAAAAGAGCGGCAAACTCCGGGGACTCAAGAGGGTTCTAGCAGAGGACTATGATGCAAGCGACAAAAGTGTTGCTAAGTCATTGCCTTAACGTCTCATTGCAATACACCCAACTTGCCTTCAGGCCATGCCGTCCTGCCCAGGTCATTGACCGATATTGACTCACAAATCGACTTGCTGGACAACGAATACGACTTGTGCAATGAGCTCTACTCCAATGGGAGTCTTGAAGGATATGGCCAAACGTCCTTTGGTTTCCAACTAGGGGCCCTTCGATGTGATTTCGATGCGTTGTGCTTCTTCAGACCCTAAAAGGCAACTTTGGGTGGCGAGCTGTTGGTCTGGTGCTTCTTCTGATCTCCTCAAGGCCCCATGCGTCCTAAGGTTTTGGGAGAAGGCGGAGCCAAAAATGCGATCAGCCACCACAGTGTTTCTTGACTGCGTGGGCGCGTGCTCAATCTTGTGTACTGACCGCAGGGTTCTCTCAAACACGCTCACGGGCGCACCTCTGAGGTGCAGCAAGGCGATGTCTCTGGAAGCCAAGATCCGGCCTCATGGCAGATCAGCTTCTGAAACAAGCTCCTACCTTCTTTAGCAAAATGCAGCGTGCGTAGTCTATTGAATTCTCGAACAACCCATGATATTGTTAGCTGTGCTCCCATCTTTTTGGAGGCAAAACAAGAAGTTCCTGAAGAAGGTTGATGGGCCTACTTCTGATGGCAAAAACTCGCGAAGCAAAGCTTCTACTTCTGATGGCAAAGACTCGCGAAGCAAAGCTTCAAAAGCTATTCCCAAAGCAAGGGGATCTCCAAAGGGTGAAAAGGTTGAAAAGGAACAACCTGCCAAAAGGAGAAAGACCAAGAAGTAAGTTGCAATTCATGTAAAGTGTAGCCTGTTTGGTGAAACAACCCTTAGAGTTGTGGGAGAACCTACAGCCCGGGTGTTTCAGTAGCTTTTCACGGGGTTCAAGCCAGTGGTGGCATGATGACAATGACTTATACTTGCACGCTTTAAATATCAAGCCTCTGAGCGGACTGGTTGGGGGTGCCATCATGTGGCTTGTAATTGGGCGTGGTTGTTGCCACGGTTTGTTGTTAAATATCTACGCGCTAGCAACCGTTCAGCTGTGTCGGAACAAAGGCACCCTTCAGCAGCAAGCTACTTGCAGGTTCTTTGCGCTTCATGTGGCCAGGTGCCACACAGCATGCCTTTTGCCTATAGTTCCCAAGCCAGGTGCCAAGCCTGGTCACGCAGTCAAAGGGTTTGCTCGAGATATTGGGCAAGGAGTCTAAGCCTGAGGTGCCTGTTCTCACATGTTCCTTTGTTTCAAGGGCAGGGAGGACTTCCTGAATATCTCTCGCTTGGATTTCCGAGGTCCCATGCAAGCATGCTGTTTCATCGGCCAAGAACATCATCAAGGACATTGGCACTGAAGTTGCTGAGCGATTGTCAGGTGGACTGGTGAAGTTCTCCTCTTCCAATTGGGGGAACCATGAGCGAGATGCCCACCGACAGTTCAAGAAGCTGAAGCTCCGTCTTCCAATCCAATTGGCTAATGTGAGGCCAAAGGAAAACGGACAAAAGACGTTCAAGGCACTTCGCTTGAGAGACTGGCTTGCTTTTTTCCTGGAACGGAATCTGTGGCATCAATTGGCTGGCCTTTCCCAACCAAACGAGCATCGGGAGGAATGTATTTGGGAGCAGTTCTGGGAGCTTTACAGGCAAGAAGCCCCCCAGCACGAGATTTTCCAGTTGGCAGCCCGTGGAGAGATTTCATTGCGGAGAACATGCGCGGTCTGCTTTCATGGCGACGAAGGTCGCGGAAAAAAGAAAACGCCATTCTTTGTTTGCAGTTTCAGATCATTCCTGGGCAAAGGCAGCGATGTTGCGGCCAAACACCGGATGTCCACTGGGTCAAAAGGAAAGCAACCGTTTTGCAGAATGAAGGTCAACGTCAAAGGCCACGTGTTTACCACAAGGCTTTTGTGCGGAGTTCTACCGAAGGCTCAGTACCAGCAGAACGAAGCATGGCTCCAAGACCTTTTTGCTTTTGCAGCTTCTGAGGCCGAGTATGTTTTGCGTCATGGAATGCAAGCTCCGAATGGGAAGACATATAGGATGGCTCTTTGTGGTGTGTCGGGCGATTGGCCCTTCCTGGCCAAAGTCGGCAGCTTGGATCGGAGCTTCGCAGCATTGCCCAAGAAACTTCGAACCAAGAATGGTGACTTGGCCCAGTGCCGCGGAATCTGTCACATATGTCTGGCTGGGAAATGCAATGGGGGGCGTCCATCACCATGGCCGTTTGAAGACCTGGCTCGGGACACCCCGTCGTGGATTGACACCATGGGAGATGAAAGCCCCTTCAAGAAGCTGCCGCACTTTGCAAGGGTTGCCCATACTGAAGGGCAGCTGGAAGACTTGTTCCGGTATGACATTTTCCACACGTGGCATCTGGGAATCGGAAAGACATTTATGAGCAGTGCAATTACTTTGGCTTCTTGGTATTTTCCAGGCACTACGCTGGAGGAAAGGTTTGGGAATCTGTCGCAGGCAGTGTTGAGCTGGTGTCGGCTCAACCATGAGCACCTGTACATCACCCATATCAGCAAAGACACAGTGAACTGGGATGCCAATGAGTTTCCTACTGGTGGTTGGTCAAAAGGCTCCACCACTACCGTGCTAGCCCGATGGTTTGCAGCGTGGTCCCTTGAAGTGGAGACTAGCGACGGCCTTTTCATTGCTACAAGGAGAGCAGCTGCTTGCATAAATGAATTCCTGACAGGCTTGTTTCAAGAGGATGATGTCTGGCTTTCTTCAGCTGTGGCAACTCGAGTGGGCCAAAAAGGAGTTGAATTCCTCCATCACTACGTGTCTGCTGCTGTGTTGGCCTATCGGGGCAACCGTTTCTTATTTCCTTTTATGCCGAAACACCACGCTTTTCAACATTTATGCCTCGTCGACCTGGTTCTGAAAGCCCGCAAGCAAAGCCATGTCCTTTCACCATTGGTGTTCTCCACACAGATGGACGAGGACTTCATAGGCCGCCAATCCAGAACATCTAGACGTGTGCACGCATCGACAGTCATTGAAAGAGTGACCTTGCGCTACCTCACCCTAGCCCACGCAGAGTTTGTTCGAGCAGGCTTCCTATGTGACTCTTAAGCCTATGATCAGGAGTGGTGAAAAAAGTGTTCCACTCTGTCTTTCTGAGCGCCTGGCACGTTCAAGGTCCTTTGCAAAACCTTTTTGAGCCCAAATGGCATCCCAGCGTTAACCCACCATCCATGGTCTTGAATTGGGAAAACCTGGCAAACTCACCAAATCACAAAACACGGTTTTGCACTTCAAAACACGGTTTTTTTCAATAACCTATTATTTTTGAGTGTATGGATTCTACTGGTTTGTTCAGAGAAGGCTTTTCAACTACGCAAACTCTTGTCACAACATCTGTCTGGTGGTGTAGGACATCATAGATCTATATAGTTTGTTCTAAGTGTTGTCAACATCAATAGTCAACAAACCAAAAATGAGACGTGCCCAACCACAAATGTTGGTTGCTGATGTGCAGTTTCACAAGAAACCTCTGTTTGCCCAAGTAGTTCCGAGCAGGTAAACCAGTGCAAGAAGAGTCTTTTGTTTGCGAGTTGCCTTGCCTATGCAAAAACAAATAGGGAATAGGGTTTATATGTAATATATTGTAGATATAATATATCATTGTTCTTTTGGAATTGTGCGAACAGGTGCCACTGGTTCTCCAAACCATCTCTTGTTCAGCTGTCCGCACCAAAGAAAACATCTGTGGATCGGCCTCTTCATGCCTCTTCTCAACTGAATCAATTTCTTCAATCAATTTCATCAATTAGATAGGAAATAGCGAATCCTCTGGCAACCATTATATATTGCGATTGTTGGTGCAAATGTCAGGTCTTTCAAAGGTAGCTCTAAACATGCATCGTCCTGCGAACATCATGCTAAACACGCAGGTTAGAGACTCGAAGTCACCTAATAGCGGAGGTGCCAGTTCCCTTCCGTAGACATCCCAATCTGCCAAACCTTTAAAACCTGCTTGCCCAATTACAAGGCACATACAGAATCCATTCCATTTAGTAAGGCATGCCATTCCGCCTCGCGAGATTCACTGAGCTCGTTTCAGCAAGTCCCCTTGTCAGAATTGTCCGTCCTTGGCAAGGTGGACAGCAAGCCGGAAGTCTCGCGGGACATGGCAGGCACTTGGCAACCTCGGCAAGAGAGATGCTGCAGGCCCCTAATTACAGTGGCGGACTTCACCTGCACCAACATGCACCAACCACGGAACAGCTCCTTTTTGGCAGTTGCTGCCTCGAGTGTCCAAATTCCTG